ACACATCTATGTGTTCCTACCACACACATCTATGTGTTCCTGCCACATGCATCTATGTGTTCCTACCACACGCATCTATGTGTTCCTATCACACATCTATGTGTTCCTGCCACACACATCTATGTGTTCCTGCCACACACATCTATGTGTTCCTGCCAGACATATATATGTATTTCTGTGTTTCTGATCATTGCTTGACATGTAGGAAAACCTGATGTGTTTGGGTTGGTAAAAATGACAAGGGAAACTAATCCAGAAGGATCAGTATCACCTTCCAGGGTTAGAAGGGAGGGAGAAGGGTACAGGATAGAAAGACACTCCTCCCCCTGCAGACACACACCAGAGAAATGTCTCTGACACCCAGGCCTGATGTTCCAGTTCCATATGTGGGTAGAACGGACAGCTTGTGTTTGTGGAAGTCCCACACATGCCCTGACCTGACTGGAGGAAATAAAGAGCAGAACACTCTCCGTATTTCAACTATGATTATCCTTATAAATGAAGGAAGTAAGGCAAGGGGGCGCTGGGTCCCAGTCTGTCTCCCAACTGAAAGAAGAAAGACTTCCAACTCTGTCAGGTTTGTTCTGACCCAGTATGTCACTGTGCCCCAGGGGAGGCTTCAAACAGGGCCAGATGCAAGGGCATGTTGGGCTAGAATGTCCCACAGAGGCTCATGTATTTGAACAGTTGGTTCTCAGCTGACAGAGCCATTCTGTAGAGTATGGCCTGGTTGGCAGATGGAGGCTAACAGGGTGGCCCTTGAACATTACACCACAGCCCTGCCCTGGCCTAAGCTTCCTGCTTCCTGATGGATGCCATGTGAAGTCGCATTACCAGTCTGTGTTGTCCCAGTCACCAAGCTTTCCCCACCCTCTGGACCATGACCCCAAATCAGTCCTTCTTCCCTTAAGTTGTCCCTGGCAGTCTGTCACAGGGTAAATAAAACACACCCTCCAGGAACGAGGGACCTCAAACATTGCTCAGGAATGGGACCCACTGTGAGGTGAAGCTGGTGGTCTGATTTCTACATAGTCCCCTGAGTTTCCTAACAGCCAGCAGGTCTTCCCAGGGCTCCTCAGTCTGAAGCCTTGGGATCCTTCCGGACTTCTTCACTGTCCTGATCATGGACTATAGTCTGAGTAGAGATGTGACCCATTGCATGCAAATGCCTGCTTTAGATTCAACGTAAATGCACCCTAAAATGCAAGGTAAGACTGAGGAACGGACTCCTTTAAGCAAGCACATGGCTCATGGGAACTTAATAAAGTAAGGGTGATTTGAAGCCAGGTTTCTCCATCTACAAAGATTTTGTTTCAGAACACTATTGCCAGATAAGCGGCAAGCCAGCAGGGGCAGAGCTTACCTATCAGGAAAACTCCCTGCTGGATGTGTAGACAGGGAGCCTCCTGAACATCTACAGATCCGGGTCAGTAAGGGTAGAGGCCTGGGTCCCTCAACCCTCAGTCACTAAGGTCAGTTCTCTGAGCCATCTTGAGACAGACCCCTTGTCACTCAGACTGCCCTTGTGCTATCTCTAGTTTGCCCTGCTGGGAAGAGGCAGGACAAAGCAAGATGTCTCCAGCAGATGGCACGCACAAAGCCACCCATGCGCACTCTTTCCACATGGAAGGAAGTGTCTGGCTGAGACAACCCCCTGAAAAGGGTGCCCTCAAACTCTGGTAATGTCCAGCAAGTTAAAGACATGATACCCTGTGGGTGTGGGCGCAGGTTCTGAGGGGCCACTCTCACCCTCTAAGCTACACATCTGAGATTTGCAGAGGGTCTGCCCCTGCAGCACAGTGACCCAGGCTGGCAAGTCTCCTGGAAATAGCCACGAACAGTGGAAACTTAGCAAGGATTTTGCAACATTCTTTCCAGAAGCAGTTAGTACATGCAAACTGATAAACACATCTGCTCACGTGCACAAATATTTAATGAACGCTGGTTTGCACAGGCGGAGGTGGGGGGTTCTTACGTCATTGTCTGGCTCTGGTGTTTAGGAAAAGGGCAACACAACAAGAGGATCCCAGAAACAAAGCCACTCGCAGGGGTAGGAGCCTGAAGGAACTGGCCTCGCTGCTCTGTGGGGCTGCTGCCTGCAGGATGTGGTCCCTAGGATCCAGGACTCCACTAGAGACGTGCAAGGTCCAGCCTCAGGTCTATGTAGACCAGGAAAGTGTCCTCCCAAAGGAGTTCTGACGACAGCCACAGAGCAGATCACAAGGCTCACAGTATCCAGGCTGTCCCACTAAGACTACTGAAGACCACCTTTGGGGTTTTCCTTCTAGGACGACTTTGGTTGGTAAAATGATTAGCAGTAGCAGCCGGCACCCTCTGGAACAGGGGAGCCTCTGATGGGCCAGTATACAGGAACGTCTACCATAGCTGACGCACAGGCTCCCTAGGTCCTCTCTCCCCAAACACAACCTTATCTACCCCTCTCCTGTGAACTGTCTTACTCAGAGCTTGCTCAGGAACTTCTCCCCTAACAACAGACCTCCCATGTAAACCCATGGTGAGAACTACGTGTCAAGAACACCCATAAGCGAGGATCTGCTGCTAGGGATGGTCGAATGGCCCCCGACAAGCCAGTGGCTTTGCCCACCTTCCAGCCCCGGCTTGTTCTCTCAGTGCCCACCCGCCTCCCCTGAGGTCTCACCACACAGTATACCTGAAGAGTTCCTCCGCTGCTCTGGGGATGATCCCCAAGTCGTCACGAGCACCTGATCGCAGCGCAGAGTCATCTTCAGAGTGGGGCCCCAACATGGTGTAGCTTTTCCCACTTCCAGTCTGTCCGTATGCCATAATGCAAACATTATACCTGAAATCAAAACCGATTTAGTACACAGACTACTAATGGAGTCTGGAGGCTTCTACCTGGGCACAAACGTCAGTGCTCCTTGGAGAAACTCTCATTAAGCTAAGCTCAGCTAACGTGCCCTCAGCAGGCCCTCGTCTCAGCCTCAGAGAGTCTTTCCCAGGGCTTGGCCCCTCTGCCAGCCGGTGGCTTACTGTCACTTTCTACCCTGTTAATTCCCAATGTGGTTGCAGGGTGGCTTTATATACATTCACAGTCCTAAATCAGGATTTTAGACCTGACTGACATAAAGCTTGCACGGTTTCCTCGGAAGGGGTGCATAATGAATCCAGCACTGCACCTTTAGTTATACTCAGAACAGTCACTTTTTAAGTATTTCCCTCTTTTACATTCATTTTATTTATTTGCTTGTGTATTGTCAGGGGTGGGGGTCACTCCATGGTTTGTGTGTCACAGCACATGTGTGGAGGTCAG